ATGATAATGATAACAATAGTAGCAATAATATAATGCACTACAAATTAGAGGAGTGTCATTTCAAAGGAGTGACTGAGCTTACACCTGGCAGAGACACCAGGCAAGCAGGACAGGCAGAACCAGTTCAGGCCATTTTCAAACGTTGGGTGTGTTCGTCGTCACTCAGTTTATGTTACACACTTGTCAACACATATTACTCACCTGTTCCTTTTAAGCTACATGGCTGTGCCACACCTAAAGTAATGCTAGATACATCCATCCATCCATCCATCGTCATCCGCTTTGTCCGGGGTCGGGTCGCGGGGGCAGCAGCCTAACCTTTTGATTTGCGTTTACATTTCTTTCTATGTGCAACTGTTTCAAAGCATGCCCTTTTAGAACTGGATCATATAAAACAACAACAGCAGAAATATTTAGACCATGACATTTTGCCTTATTCTGCCTCTGTGCATCACTACAAAAACATTTCAGAACAGACAGTTGGGATGTAACTGACCTGCACGCTTTCAGTTCAAATTCAACAAAAATCCTGATTTAATTGTTTGGGAATCACAGCCAGATTCCATTTGGTGCAGAAACATCCTACAGAACCTTCCACGGAATAATTTACACCATTACAGCAATGAAAGGCATCAAATTAAAACCTTGTTTAGTCTTAAAAACATGCATTTCAGTATACACAATACACACAATAATTCATTGAAAACCACTCGCTTCCTCTTAGGGATCCTAGGACGGAGCAAAATATATAAACACAATGCTTATCATAGCCTATGAAGTTTAACCTGTTGTACTCAAGGAGTTATTTATCATCTATGGGATGAGTTGTATTTGCAACTTAAAGCATGTATTAACTTTGTCATTACACTAACTTACACTAACTTTGTCATTGGTAGATGTATATTTTTTAGCTAAGAGGACAAAAAAATCTATTTATTTATGAAGGACATAGCAGTACACAGAAAATCCTGGTTTTCCCCCAGGATATAAATGCAGCATGAGTTCGTGGATGTGTGGTTTGAAAGTCTCAAACGTCGCTCATACCACAGTGAAGAAAAAACCACCAGCACAGTGCAATTTAAGCATTTAACATAAGATAGCCTTTTATTTCACTATTTACAAAGACTTTACAATGTAGAACTCAGTTCGTTGTAGGGTGAAGAGGAGACAAGCAGAGGGCCGAGGTGGCATCCGGCTGGAGGTTAAGATCCGATCCAATCCCCGCACAACAACTTCTTTAAACAAGTCAATAAGCCGTCTTCACCTGTCTCAAGAGCCAACTCACACACACACACACACACACACACACACACACACACACAC